TCTTTCCGCCCGGCTCTGCCAGCCCTCTGGCGTCACGTGACGTGCGAGGCGCCCAGTCAAAGCCGGCTCGGAAGGTTCCATCTGCAGAAGTGCGGGGTCGTTTGGCGCGCTCCTGCTCCCACTGCATCACTCTCCTTGTCTCGAAGTCTGTTCTAGAGGCGCGATTTCCCGTATCCCCCCCGCTTTTGGATTTGCCCAGATGAGGAAAGGCTCAATATTTACAAACGCTAAATCTGTTCGAGTCCTTCCGTAAAAGTCGCTTGACAGTCTCTGAGAGTCCACAGGGAGTTAAAAACTTATTTTGAAAGGGACTTTCTGTATTTTTTATTGCAATATAGCTTACACTTAAGACTAACACAATCAAAATGGTTTGCATTTAGTTACCCTTTCTTGTAGTTTCCCACTATGTATAAGACTACATGGCGTCCACACTAAGATCATTCATTGAATTCTGTGTGAGAGGAACTACACAGATGAACAAATAGAAAAATACAAAAGAGTAAAGGTAGAGCTGCGAGGTACGGTTCTAAATGCTAATGCGGGCCGCGTGGTTCCGCTTGGTAGACACCGGGGGAGCAGAGACTCCGGTCGGCGTGGAAATAGCGATTACTTTGGGGTCCAGTAGTCCTGGTTTTAAATTCTGGCACCTCCACCTACGAGTGTATAAAGTTGAAGTTTTTTTTCCCCAACTACAGAGTAAAAATAACAGCTTCCTAGGATTCTAAGGGTAAATAATTAAATGAGAAGTGTCTGTCTCCGCCTCAGAATTTAAGTTTTGTTGGGCCTTCCGGGACCTCCTAGCCCAAACTGGAAAGTTGAGGCAGGTCTATTGCAAGTTGGAGACCAGCCTGGGCAACTTTAAAAAAAAATAAAAAATTTTTTTTCAAGGGATAAGGTTATAACCCAGTGCAAAGGCTCTGGGTTCCATTCCTAGCTCCATCAAAAACAAAAAAAAAAGGTATCAATACTGGGAAAAGAGACTTAACTGGTTTTAATTAAAAATAATCACACAAGTTCAGGTTGGCTTGGCCTCTGGGTCAAACTGCTGTCCCTGCATATTAATAGCTGTAAGAACTTAAGCAATTTTCTCTCCTTTGGTGGCCTTATCTGTAAATTTGGAATAGAGCATATACCTGTTGCGATGATTAACAAGGTAATATGTATAAAACACCACAGTGTCTGGTGTATAATATGGTAAGCATTCAGTGGTTGAAAACTATTAAGAAAGCTACATATAAGATATAATCTTTTTTCTTTCCTGCAACATCTGTACTATTTCTCATAAGAGAATCTTTGTTTTACATTTGCATGATGCCTTTTCCAGATGAACTAAAAATGTTTAGCAAGTAGTCATTGATCATCTACTGAATTCCAAGTAATGTGTATGTTATTGGGGAAAAAATGGCAAACACAAAAGAGCACCTGCATCTGCCTTCCATCATGGCATGCTTGTTCCCTATTAGCTGGTTTGGTCACTATGGCCATGTGTGGCTCTCAAGCAACTCCCATGTGGCTGGTATGGCTGTGGAACTGACCTGTTCATTTTAAGGACAGGAATATGGAGAAGGCAAGAAAATTATTACAAAGCAAGCCAAAATATATTACTGGGCACCTATTATGTGCCCTGTATATTGCTAGGTACAAAAGCATAAACTAGTTAATAAAATTGTCTTAAATAAGTTACCAAAAGATTATTCCTAAATTCCTTTGCTCATAAATTGATTTACTGGAAGTCCAAGATTTCTTGATACAAGCAGCATCAGATATATGCAAGAGTAATTTTCATTTTTACTTGCTTTTCATTATGCAGTTTTTAAAACAGATCCGTAATCCCTTATCAACAATTTCAAGATCCAAAGTTTTGAAAACTGAAAAGTATCTGGAAGTTTATGGCAAGCTCCCTTAGTAGGCAAACCTGGCCAGATGTGCCATAAGGCATTGACATTATTTATGTATTCCATTTGATGTCAGTATCTACATTCAGAAATATGGATGTATTTATGGAATTTGATTACGACGATGGAAATTGCAAGGAACTTTCTAATGTGATGGGATGTTTTTTGTTGTTTTGATTGGGATTTGTGGCTTGGTTTTTTTGTTTTTGTTTTTTTCTATTTTGTCTTCTCTTCCCTTTTTTTAATGCAAGGTGTTGCTGTATTGTGCCAGCTGGTCTCAAACTCCAGGGTTCAACCTATCCTCCTGCGTCTTCCTCCCAAACAATTGGGACTACTGTTGTGTACTGCCCCTGGCTGGTGGAAATGGTCTCAACCTTGATTATGGTGGTGGCTGCACAAGGCCTCAGCTTATTAAGAAAATTATAATGGGTTCAATTTATTATGTATAAATTATAACACATAAAACTTGCCTTTCTTAATTTTTAAAAAAATACCAAGTTCCCTACAAATGTGCATTATGCGATGGGAAAAACTTGCTTTTAAAAGAAAAATAAAAGTTTTTAAAATAGTTTTTACATATACTTCTTCAAAATCCAAAATATCCTTTAATCTAAAACTTATTTAGACCTAAGGAATTTTTCCTGGGTGGTGGTATATGCTTAAGTGTTTTATATAAGAGAATGTAGACTAGCATCACTTTGAGCAAAACAGAAGTTTTCCTCCTGTGGTATATAATGTGATTATAATACAAATCTGTCCCCAAAATAAAATAAAATCAACCACTAAAATCATCTTTTACTGGCAGGAGTTTTATTTATTGTTCCTCTGGCCTTAAGATTTCTTCCCCTCTTAGAAATTGCCTCTATTTGTTTCCTGGAAGATCCTCTATTTGATTCTTGTAAGAGTGGTGGCAAACCTATGTCATGTGTCCTCTCTGTCAGCACTTGAGCCAAGTCACCCAGCATCACCCCAGCAGCCAAACTCCAGACAATACCACACACAGGGGCCATGCACATGCTCCAGAAGATAGTGGGAGCACCAGACATCACTATGACTCATGAAGTGTGAGCCGAGGTTTGACCAATTACCAGCATGCGCACAACATCAAAGATCACATTAATTATGCAAAAGCATGCCAAATGCCGACTTTTACCTTTCAATAAAAAAGCTATTTGTGTCATTGAAAGCTCTGTTATTGTTTTTCTTTTAAGACAAAAGATCTTCATGTATAAATTGTTTTTTCTAAAATAAAACCTCAGTATTCAGGTTTGATTTCAGGATTGGCAGGCACTTTGCGATAATTAAGTGGGTTTTGGGTTGCAGTTTGGGCACTCGGTTTCTAAAAGTTTCACTGTTGCTGCCCTGTAATGTTCTGGTGTTCTTATCTTGTGGGAAGTAGAACCCTCTTGTGGTTAGGGATGGGGTTTCCCTAGGAGGAAGTAGACACTGATAATGTCAGTCATCCTGAAGACCCTTGTCTTGAGACAGGATGTGGGAGTGTGAAAGAAGGGCTGGGACTAAGAGGAAAAAGCACTCCTTCTCTCTAGGCCTTGCTTTTTTGGAACCAGACACAAATGTTTCAAGCACTGCGCCCATCTTTTGTCCCAACAGGAAGACATCTGCCCTTAGCCTTGAAACTAGATAGAATAGATAGAATTTTTAAATTATAAAATATCTTGAATTTTTTCATAACCTATAAGGGTTCATGAATGGGCAGAGGTTCACAGACCTGGAGGAGTTCAGCAAGGCCAACTAATGGTTGGGTTCCCATCTGTTCCATAGATCTTAACTGCGGTGTCAAACTGATAGGGCATAAATTGTCTGGGGCATACTCCTTTTTTCTAGTGGGTCATGGGAACACAAGGATATTGAATAGAAACATGATGTCCTTTTTACCCTATCCCCAAACAACTGACACACTGTCACTTCTACCCATATTACATTGATTTAAACAAACCTAACATTAGTGAGGTGGAAGAAATACACTCTTTCTCCTCGAGTGAGAGGTACTGCAAAGGCCCATGGCAAAGGATTTAGAGGAATAATTCCAGTACCAAAAGGAAATAAGGAATGGAAAGTACTGATCCAAACTACCACAAGACGCCATGCCTGCCTGGCAAGCGCAAGATCCTGAGTTCAATACCCGGTACCAAAAAAGAAAAAGAAAACAAAAAACCAAACTACCACAAGAGATGCTGTGAATGCCTCTTACATTTGGACCTGTACAACTCCAGTGTGGTAGAAGGCGCACACTTTAGAATCTCAAAATCATGAAAATACCCCTTTCTTTGCTATGGAAAAACAACCCCTAGTCTTAAGTAAATCGTTGTGCATACAACATTAACCTCCTTATCCAATCAATTTGCCATTCTTGATTCCTCTAATATAAAAAGTCTAGAGCTGGCACCTTGGCCTGTGGCCTGTGAACACACAAAGCCACCCACAAAACTAACTGCTACATAAATGGGACTTACTGTTTATAGTAATAAGGCTGCTTTCTACTGCAAACCAGGA